ACCATTTTCACGTGCAATTATTTAGACAACTGTATACTCAGGAGGCACTAGAATGGAGTCTCACTCTTATTAGAGCTCATCAGTAGTGCAAATCGGCCGTCTCGTAGGAGCAGGTAACTCCAGAACAATGACATGGAAGGCGTGTGGATCACCGTCGTGTCAACCAGCTCACACCGGGGCTGAACCGAACTGCTAGCTCATGTTTAGTTTAACATTGTCTTTAGAGATCACCAAGCCTATCAACGGTTTCCTTCCGAATAACGGAAAAGCTATCCGCTGGTTTTCTTCGCTAGGTCAGCAAAATTATCGACAGTTTCGCTTTTAGATACAATTCCATCAACAATTTTGACTATGGTACAGTCGCCTGTTTAGAATTCCACGTCTATGCCTCAACTCGAGCGGTCACGGCTGATTAAGATTCACCTGTAGTGGCTTGAGACGGACAGTGTAACAAGCTCGAGAGTTGTCACCACCTTTGTCTGCCTGTTCAGCATGTATGCTTTCGCATGGTCCCAGACATTGATGGCTGGGAGCATTCGCTCGTGCATCCTTCTCCTTTGTAGCATAGATCTTCGGATCTCCGATATCTTGAGACCGCCTCATCAGCTAGGTCTTTCATCTTTGTTTAAGTCACTGCCACCTCCGGTGAAGTAACTTTCACTTTTAGCGGTTCGTGAGTTCAGTGTTACACCTTCTCTCGCTGAGCACTTTCGCTTTCAGACACTCTCGAGCGTAGTCAGGCTAAAACTACGGTGCTTCAGGGAACAATATACGTTCCCTCGACTAACCGGGTGTTCTTCCTGATCCATACCGGGTGTGTGAGAAACACGGGAGAATTAGAGATCGGATCGTTGTCTTAGGTCGCGTCACTGCATTCCCTATCTCTAAACACCCATTGTTGGGGCAGATTTAACGAATGCAAGAGGTGACTGAAAGCTGAGATGAAACGAACAGAGCATGATCTTGAAAACCGGAGTATGGAATTCCTCCTACAAACTCCAGACTCGTGAAACACCCAGGGCATTTATATCCAAGGATCCAGGTGGTGCCAAAGTTCCTCCTGACACAATTGTTGGATCTGTTCGTGGTGATATCAAGAAAGAAGCTGTCGAAGTTCAAAGGCATCCCGTTGAATTTTCAGAAGGTTTCACTAGGGTTTGATGCCATAGTTGCTCGACATGTTTTTGATTCAGTGAGTCGCCTCTCCTACCTGATTCATGATCTTCAAGGTTTTATGCAAGAAACAACTGATCATTTACCCTCAGTGTGTGCAATATTTGGAATTCTCTACTATCCCATGTTGTTTCTGTGCCCACAGTTGATTCTTTCAAGCACAAACCGGATGAAACATCCCCATACCTTAAGTTTCGACATCAGTAGCAGAACACAAACAATGAAAATCTGTGATATTCCTTATCTCTTTATGGTCCGTAAATCGATCCAGAAGTGAGAAAACCTTGTCACAAGAAAAGCAAACGCTGGTGAGTATTTTCCATAATAAAACTTTGACTTTGAAACCTTCTGAAGGTTACGCAGAAGCGTGAAAGAGCCCGAAAAACCTGATGCAGACAATGCGGTGCAAAGGGGAATCAGAAATTCTTCCCAGAATGACGAACTGTGTGCAAGAGCGTGCAGATACGTTCTCCATGAGGGTGGAATACCTGTCACCCATTAATAAGGCACATAGCAGCCAAACGAAATGACCTCGGTCAGATCGGAGAACCCACAATCCGAAAAGGTTGTCAATAAATTTGTATAATCAACGGAGATTCTACAGGCTACCGAGTAATGCCAGCGATAAATACAGTTTGAACTAGATCAACGGGTATTACTAAACTGTATGGAGTGTGATTCTTTATTGAGGCAGCAAATGCAGTCGCAATGAGCAGCAGAGGCAATGGGTAGATAATAATGCCGTCGGGAAGAACTGGGAACCGGTGGCAAACAGGTATTTAACTGACCCGGAACTGGTTCTAAACGAATACAGACTAGTGAAAAACTGAGAAATGACATAAATCAACAAATATTATGTCCAAGATTTGGAGCGCTTTGAAAAGGACAGGTCTGAAGTCTGTAGTTTTAAACGATAATTCCACAACGGAATGTATCGGCATACAGGTCTGAAACTCATAGAGGCAGGTGTGTAACCTGGATTATTTGCCTTTTACTAGTTGAAGATAAAACATACAGGGAATGTAGCAGGTTAGTGAAAAGTCCGACTGAAAGCAATGAGCAGTAATGAGCAAGTGAAAGGTCAGAGTGAATAAAAGCAGTCAACCGAAGGGCGATGGAAACACTCATAGTGAGCCAATCAGAGTTGTACACGGAGAGGCACGCGAGCAAACAATCAATAAATACTGAACGCCGCGTAGCAAGAAACAAGGCGTGTAAACCAGAGCGACATCCAACCGGTTAGAGGAATCAATGGGATTTGATGCAGTGGGGGCGAGGGTGAGGCAAACTCGGTCCGGTAACAACGAAATGAGGCCAATCAGCGAACGTCGACGCGCTAATCCTCACGTAACAGCAGGCTTACATCTAGTCCCGTTAAATCCTTGTGGGGATTTAACTGAGAAGGTCAGGTCAGGTCAGGTTTCTAGGACGAAAACAGGCTTTCGCCTAAC